CAACTGTTTAAGTGTTCAATTATCAATAAGCCAAAGTCTGTGGAAGGCCATAATGGCCCTGCTTTAAGTGGTTCACTACTACCGCAGCTCACCACGCTGTCTCTGCCTCTGCCGCCATCTTGGATCTCCCACAATGCTGTCATTTTATATTGACCTGTGCCAAATGGATTGTTGTTGGAGTTAAAAAACCAATACATTATTAGGCCAGATGAATGATGATGTTGGCTTGGACTGGAGTGATGATAGTAGAGGTGAAAAGTGGGATATATCTGGAATTTTGTTGATGGATTTGAGGTAGAGAGGGGTGGAAAAGGAATTCATGTTATTTTCTGGTTTTGGCTTAAGCAACTGATTAAATGATACTATTTACTGAGGTAGGGGAATTGCACATTTAGAAAAACGGCGAGTTTTCTCTTTTGGTTCTGACTATTGTTGGTGATCATGAGACAGCTATGTAGAAGTGTCGTGTAAGTATTTAGATGTATTAGTCTGCAGTTTCAGAGAGCTCTCGTGCTAAGGAGTTGTGCTGCCAACCCAAATCCACCAAATGAAATCCTTGGCTGAAAGATAGGCATGCCCTTCTTAGAGAGGAGGTTACTGCCTCTGAAAATCCCCTAGAATATTGGCTATGAGTACATAACAGCAGCAGCCTACAATTTCAGCGAGAGTGACTACTGTTCAGTAAAATCATTAAATATGTTGGTAAATAGCTATGACCATATGAAGTTGCCATTTTTTTACCCAGAAATGGTTGAATGCTGGCAATTTCATTGGCTCATTTTCTTCAGGGGTAGTTAAAACTAGGACAGGATGAATCATTTAGAAAACGTGTAAAAAGAAGAGAAAGAACATTTGGTGGTTGGACAGAGAGTAGGAGCCAGTCTAAGAAGGGTAGTAGGTAAGAAAGAGGAGGATCAGGTGAATGGGCTATCGTTGAAACCAAAAGAGGAAGGTGTTTGGAGAAAGAGAGAGTGAATAAGTAAAGTGCTACTGAGTCCAGTTGTGAAAAGAACCAGTAAGAGATCTGGATTGATAACATAGTAGTCCTTGATGATTTTAATAGGAATAGCCATAGACTTAATTCAGTCATCCAAGCTCAGAGGTCAGGCTGTGAATATCCTTCTGCCTTTGTTGAAGAAAAGTAGAACATGTCTGTGAGCTTTATGTATCTGGTCATAGTTGATTGGCTGATGCTGAGGAAGTGCCCTTGAGGAATGGGACGGTGAGGAGAGCATCCCAGAGGAGGGCAGACACTTAGGGGGAGCTTCTGATTGGGGGCATAGGCATTCTAGGAGGGGCCCAGAAAGGATAGATAGAAAGCCAGGCAAAGTTTGGTAAATAAAGCCACAATCCTGCTGAGAAGCAAATGGGATTAGACTTTTGAAATAATTGGGGATATATATAGAGGACTTTTGAATGTCAGGCTAAAGACTTTGAATTTCACTTGAGTTGGGGCATAATTCCAGGAAGCACTGAAGTAGAGGAAGCATCATTTAGCTTCACCACTCAGACTCAGCTTCACTCCTAAAATGCGTGGTTGATGCCCACACTCCCTTGACCTTAGCCATACTGAACTGGATACTTACTGACTCCTTCAGTAAAACATAACCTCTATGAGGGGAGAAGTAATTCCTGACTCCTTCACAGCTATGTTCTTATGACCTTGCTTGCGGTCCAGCAGGTGGTTTATTTGTTGAAGATGTACCTAGACACCTCCTTCCCATTTTTTTTTTTAAACTTAGCAAAACAAGTAAAAAATGTTTACTGAGGTAATACATAGAAGGCATGGTTGGTGAAAGATAGAGACAGGCCACGCAAAAGCATTAAAGAGAAAAGGGAAGAAATAAAGATGGGGTGGGGTGGGGACAGAACCCACCCTGGAAATCAGGGATGGACCCAAACCTTTCAGCATGCTGCCAGCAGAAGAGAGGGAACCTCCAGTGAGTCCTGCTTTCATTGGCCCCCAGTTTCCTGAGACTGACCATAGCCTTGCCCCGCCTAGGGACCTGTGAGATGGTTTGGGATTTTGATCCTCTGCATTCCTAAGAGAGGGGGCTTCTTCACCTAGATGCATCTGGGTTTTTGTTGGTTTGGTTTTGGTATTTTTTTTGGTGTTTTGTTTTTTTTTTTAACTTTCTGAGCAACCTTGCTTTTGCAGTGGTAGAGAGAGACTAGATAGCACTTCTATCCCTTGATGTTACCCCCGAGAGATATCCAAGCCCTGGTTCTACAGGGAATTGGACGACGAGATCTTTCTGGCTACTTTTTGCTGACATTGGGCATAGGCCTGCCTACTAGTTCAGTGCTGAGCCTTTCCATCTCTGTCCCTAAAGGAGACTGCTGGCTGGTGATAAGCGAGACAAGCTTATGACTCATCCCTTTCTGAAACTCATTGCAGCCATTGACTTCTGAGAGAACAAATAAGTCTGTCCTAGAGAGTGTGAAGCCAGGTTGCTTCTTGGAGGCAAGGAGTTTGAGACTCCATCTCACATGCTTTGGACATGTTGTCACAAGGGGCCAGTTCTTGGAGAAGGACTTCATACTTGGAAGGAAAGAGAGTCAGTGCAAGAGAGAAAGACCCTTTCAGCATGCTGCCAGCAGATAGAGAAACCCATCCCACATTATTAAAGCCTACATTTTACAGGATTAGTTAAAAATCTCTCAGGTTACTTCCCCCCCCCCCACCCCCCAGGTTACTCTTGCCCTTCTGGATAGCCATATAAATTCCCTCCACTCAACCCCTACTACATGAAAAGTTTCAACTCTCCTTGAACTTGAATTTGACTTGACAGGCTATAGTGAGTATTCTTTTTTAGGACCCCAGCTCCTCTCTCCAGCAAAGGATTCCTGCAGGATGTCTCCAGTCCTTCACTTCTACGTCCTTCCCTCTGGCCATGAGGATGCAGCCTTTGGACGCATTCTGAGGAAGCTGAAAGGGAAGCTGCCAGAGCTGCAGGGTGTTAAGACGGAGCTGTGTTACAATGTGAACTGGACAGGTTAGGCCCAGGGGTTGGATTCTTTTTTTTTTTTTTTTATTAAATGTTATTAATTTTAATGAACATTTACAGAGATTTTGGGTTTTCATTCATTCATTGTTGCACTGTTTTCTCTACCCTCCTCCCCAGTTCGTTCTTTTTTTTACCCCCCTTGAAAGTCTGTTTTAATTGTCCACTTGCCACAGTGCTTGTCAAAGTCAGTTCTGATTAATCTCCTTTGTCAGTGTGTCCTTTGCCATTCCCTATCACTCCTCCCTGAGAGAGACTTCACCCTGATTCATAGGGAAAAGGGGATGGCGTATTCTCTTAGCTACTAGGGGTTGGATTCTTGAGGACTTGCCTTGATGCTGAGGCCAGTCTCAAGGTATCCTCACTCTGTCTCCCTGCAGCTGATTCCCTCCCTAACACCGAGGAGATGAAGAAGTTGAAGTGGCTCTTTGGCTGCCCTTTATTGCTGGATGATGTTGCTCATGAGTCCTGGTTCTCTCCTACCCCAAATGACCTGGTGCTAGAGGTTGGACCCAGGTAAGTACGTCTGCCTGGAGTCCCTTATTCCAGCATGCCCTTTAGACACAGCTGCTTGCCCCTTTCACATGATCTTTAGGGAAATATATTCTCCTTCCATTCCATCCCCTTTACTACATCTTGTCCCTGTGCTTGGAATCCATGGCCATACCTTCCACATTTGGGAAGGTGATTTTTTTTTTGAACAAGTTTATTAAGGCAAAGGAGCATATTGGTAGGACTGGAGGTATTCCCAAATTAGATATCTAGGGCGCATCATCAGAGGGGAGAGGATAAGAAAGGGCAGCAGGGAAAGAGGGGGGGAAGAGAACGAAAGAAAAGGCTGCCTCTTGGCGAGGGATGGCTCAGTACCCTGATGTTCTGGCTCGGGGCTGAGGGCACAGAGAGCCTTTCAAGGCTGAGCTAGTGCCCAAGAAGCTCCACAAGTAAAGCAAGTTGTATTCCGAGAAGTTGAAGTTGTAGTTGTTTGATGATGTTGTTATGTGCTATTGAGTTGGAACCAACTCACAGCTGACCCTCCAGTAGGTTCTCAGAGGTTGTAAGCCTCACAGGTGTTATTGCCCATCTTTCTCCCTCAGAGCAGCTGGTGGATTTGAACCATATGTGTTTCGGTTGGCAGCATAACTACGACTGGGCCACCAGAGCTGCCAGTGTGACCTGAGTGACCTTTGAAAACCTGAGGCTGGAGGTCACTGGTTATAGAGGCTGTACTCGGAGCTAGCAGGAGGCGGGATCCATCTTCCCACCTGGCTCCAGGACTCTGGTATTAATCATCTGACCCACTCCTCAGGCTGAACTTCTCTACCCCAGCATCTACCAACATTGTGTCAGTGTGCCACGCCGCTGGACTGGAGGCTGTGGATCGTGTGGAGACTACTCGGCGCTACTGGCTTTCTGTGAGGCAATGGGGGATTAAGAGGAAGAGATGAGATTAAGTCCTACACTCTGGGAACAAAAAGAAAATTGGGGAAGAATTCCTATTTGGTGTCTGCCCTGTGTGATTATGCAGAATATCCTTAGGTGGTGGAGGGTAGGGAAGTATGTGGGGGACACTTGGCCACGGTGAATGAGGCAGAAGTCCAGCCTTAGTTCCCCTTCCTCATCTGCTCCCCTGTCTTGACGTGGACTCTGCTCGAAGGGGCATGTTTTCTAGTCTGCCTAGAGGCGCCTGTGTACTAGCAGAACCTTGGTTGTACAGGATAGCAGTGCTGAGGCTGGACCATTTGTCTTTACATCTTCATCTTACCCTTTGCCCTGTGTGTGTGTGTGTCCCCCAGTTTAACCAACTGCCTCCAGCTGTGGTGAAGACCCTTGCACTTGATACCCTGCATGACCAGATGACAGAGCAGTGCTTCCTGCAACCCATTCAGAGTTTCTCTCCTGAGAGCACCCGAGCACCCCTTGATGGCCCCATCGACATATTGGGCAAGGGCCGGGCTGCTCTGGAGAAGGCCAACCTGGAGCTAGGTAGGCCAGGGCCTGTGGGAGATGAGGGAGGGCCCGAGAGAGGCTGGGCTGCAGCTCTGGGATCTGCTTCCTAGGTTTGGCCCTAGATTCCTGGGACCTGGATTTCTACACCAGGCGCTTCCAGGAGTTGCAGCGGAATCCCAGCACTGTGGAGGCCTTTGACTTGGCTCAGTCCAATAGGTGGGAAGGAGCAATGATGTTCTGATGTCTTGAGTCGTAGTAGTTGAAAGGGAAAAACACAGTACCTACCCTCATGGCTCCCACTTGGCTTCGAGGCCTTCCTGGATGTATCTGAGGACCTGGGCTTCCCCTTTTATCCATTAGGCTATGTTCAGATCTGGATTTTTGTCTCCACTTTTGAGTTTGGATTGCTCTCAGTGGTGGAATGCTTACAGATTATGGCATTTTAAAATTTATTTTGGCCTGTTCTCTAAGAACTAGTTGGCTATATTTCTGCTATTAAACGTTGTTGGTGTTACTGAGCTGATTTGGGTTCATTGTGTCCCCATGCTAGCATGTAGAACAGGCCTATACCTATGGCTTTCTGGGCTGTGGCCTTTATGGAATCAGATCCCTGAGTCCTTTTTCCTCTGGTGGAGCTACTGGTTGGATTGAGCTCCCAGCTGTTTGGTTAGCAACTAAATGCTTAACTGTTGTACCATAAGGTTTCTTTTTTAAAATATTATCAGAGGTTAAATGGTGGTGTGGATACATGCAAAGACTGAGAAATCCCCAGCCCTGGCCTTCTCCTCCCTGCATCCCCCTTGCAGTGAACACAGCCGACACTGGTTCTTCAAGGGTCGGCTCCACTTGGACGGACAGGAGCTGCCTCACTCATTGTTTGAGTCCATCATGAGTACTCAGGCATCCTCCAACTCCAACAACATCCTCAAGTTCTGTGACAACAGCAGGTGGGCTCTGCGGGAGACTGGAGTGGCCTGGGACCTGGGGGAGGGCCTGGGTGCTGGCTGTGCTGGTGTCAAATCTCGGGAAGGAAGTGGGGTCCAGAATGACTGTGTCTGCAGTGCCATCCAGGGAAAGGATGTCAGATTCCTGAGGCCGGAAGACCCTACCCAGCCAAGCCGCTTCCGGCAACAGCAGGGGCTGAGACATGTAGTCTTCACAGCAGAGACCCACAACTTCCCCACAGGTGACCTGGGTCCCCAGGAAGGGTAGGAAGAAAGGTGAGAATAAGGGAGGGCCAAGGTCATGTCATGTAGGAGAAGCTGGTTGTCTTATCCTCCATGAAAATTGTCAGGGAGGGGGCCTGTCCCTGTGGCGCCCTCACCTCTCCTGTTCCGTCTTCACAGGAGTAGCACCTTTCAGTGGTGCCACCACGGGGACTGGGGGTCGGATCCGAGATGTCCAGTGCACAGGCCGAGGTGCCCATGTGGTGGCTGGTACTGCCGGCTATTGCTTTGGAAACCTGCACATCCCCGGTCAGTCTCTCCTTCCTCCACCCCTCTTCCAGATTCCTTGTCTTAACAAGGACTGGTTCTTTGATCTCTGAGGTTAAAAGGTTGTCCTGGGTGCCTTTCCTTGAGAGTGAGGGCTCTGTAGTAGTAGGTCATTCGTGTGCTGAGATCACGAGGAGTTACAGTCTGGTGGAGGCCTATGCTCCCAGCCAGATATTACTGAACCACAGTTCTATTTATACCTTTTCCCCACAGTTTTATTTATAAAGTAGAATCCACTTACTACGAAAACATGATGCTGAATCACTTTTGGCTCCTAAGTCCACTTTGTTAGACATTCTTAAAGATTTTTTCCTTTTATGTGGAAGGCTGATGTAGAGGGTGGGAGCAAGACCTTGCTTAATTGTACCCTCTACACTTCAAAAAATGGAACTTCCTAAAAAACTCAATGTTCTGTTTGAGTCCTTGGTAGTTTGAACTCTTTCCAAAAGCTCTGACTTCTCCGTCTGATGTTTTCCCAGTCGATCCCAACTTTGTCCTTCCTACCCAGGTTACAGTCTGCCCTGGGAGGATCCAAGCTTCCTGTATCCTGGCAATTTTGCCCAGCCCCTGGAGGTTGCCATTGAAGCCAGTAATGGGGCTTCTGACTATGGCAACAAGTTTGGAGAACCAGTTCTAGCAGGTGACTTGGAGAAGTAGTGGGCGCCTAGACCTTGAGTGAATGCTTAGGGGGTGTGGGTGACTGAACACTGTCCCACTCTGCTCTCCAGGCTTCTCCCGTTCTCTTGGCCTCCAGCTTCCTGATGGCCAGAGGCGTGAGTGGATCAAGCCCATTATGTTTAGTGGAGGCATTGGGTTCATGGAAGCTGAGCATGTGAGCAAGGAGTCCCCAGAGCCAGGTAAGAGCCTGCCACCTTCTGATAGGGCTAGCTTTTCCTTCAATGCATGACCGCTGCAGGAGGGGAACTTAAGAGCCCTTTCAGCCTCTTGGTTTTCAGTCTCCTGGCTCAATCTCTTCTTCCATATGTAAGCTTTTGAGGCCAGGCCAGGCTTTATGCCGGCTAGGCAGTCTTGGTCTTTGTTATCTCTTATCCCAGTTTATATGTGCAGAACCAGGACCTTCTTCACACTGTACATATTCTGTGTCTTGGGTCACTCTCTGTTAAGTCAAGATGATCAGTGCTTACCCCACACCTGCTGTATGCCAAGAGCTTTATCTTACAACTCAGGCCAATCAAGCAAACATTTCTTCAGCACTCATGTGCTGAGTGCTCTGGTGGAATCAAGACGGAGTCTGTTGTGTTGATTCTGACTCAGCGACCCTGAAGGACCCCACAGGACAGTAAAACCATCTGTATGGTTTCCAGGGAGCAGCTGGTATATTCAAACTGCTGACCTTCTGGTTCACAGTCTACTGATTTAACCACCATGTCACCATGACTCTTGTTTAAAACCTAGGCCTTATTTTTTAAATAGGTAACCCAGTCATAAAGTTCAAAATTCAAAAAAAGATTGTATAGTCAAAGTTTTCTTCCTGACCCCAGCCACTAGGTCTTCTTCCTAGAAATAACTAGTCAGTCAGTTGATTTGATACCCACCCTGAGGTCCTGGGGCAGGCAAGGTTCAGAGTTCTAGGCATAGAGTTGCTGTGAGGCATAGTCAACAGCACCTAACAACAACCAGAGATATTTCCTGCGTAAGTTAACAAACTCCTATCGCCTGCGACTCGACAGCACTTAACAATAACATGTATGTGCCCTGTTTTTTTAAACAAATGGTACATGCCTACATTCCTTAAAAATAACCATTTTGCTGTACAATCCATGTTCCATAAAGTTCACCTTTTAAAAATATATGTCATTTTGTGCTAGTTCCTTCCCCACTAATTATTTATATATATGTATAAAAGTGAGGGGTTTTAGTATGTTCAGCGTTGTGCATAAGTCACCATTTAATTGCAGAATGTTTTCATCACCTTAGAATAAAACATGATAAAAAGGGGAAGAGGGGAGAAAAATCATTGGTATAGCAGAGGTTGGTGTGTGGGAATGGAGCTGATGGTGAAGGAATAGGAAATGTTCAATAGGGACTTGAAAAGGTAGGGTGATAATAGGCACAGAGGAGTGCTGGAGCAGAGTAGAACAAACAGGTCTGTCCTGGAGAAGGTGAAACCAAATTGCTTCTTTGAGGCAAGAATTTTGAAGCTCAGTCCTTGGAGAAGGACATCATGCTTGGAAGGGTGGAGGGATAGTACAAGAGAGGATGACCCTGGATGAGATGGACTGACACAGTGATGGGTAATGAGGGTTGGTGGATCAGAGACAGGTTAGCTCAAGATAGAGCAGGATTCAGAGCTATTATACATAGGGTCACTATGAGTCACGGGTGACTTAAAGGCATATAACAATGGTAATTAATTATATAAAATAAAATGTATAGTCACTATGAGTCACAGGCACATAACAACAATATGAATGATTATATAAAATACAAGGCACGTTTGTTATGTGTTGTCAAATTGCCTATGACTCATAGTGACCCTTTGTACAACAGTTCTGAACCCTGCCCTATACTGAACCAGTCTCACTCATTCTTAAGACACCAATCCATAGCCCCAGTTACTGTGTTGGTCCATCTCATCCTGTGTCTTCCTCTCCAGCACTGTCCCTCCACCCTTTGGAGCGTGGTATCCTTTTCCAAAGACTCTGCCCTCCTGGTCTTGTGACCAAAGTATGTGAAACAGAACTTCAAAATCCTGGCCTCCAAGGAGAAACATGATTTCACCCTCTCCAAGAAAGACCTATTTGTTCTCTTGGAGGTCCGTTGTATGTTCAATACTCTTCTCCAGCACCACAACTCGAAGGCATCAATTCTTCTCTGTCATCCTTAGTCATTGTCCAGTTCTCTGATGCATAACAAATAATTGTGAAGACCATGGTCTGGACCTTGTACCCACATCACGCTGTCTTCACCCTCCTCTAGCCTCTGAAACAACTTGTTTTTTCTTTTATTTACATATTTTGGATATTTTTTTGTAAATGGCATATAGTGGGTCTTTTATGGCCAGCTTTTAAACTGTTGCCCATGTTGTACCATGTAACAAGACTTTGTTCCTTTTTTGGCTGAAAAATGTTTCATGGTATAGATAATATCCAATTTTTATGTTCAAATGAACATTTGAATTGTTTATATTTTTTTAATATGATAGTTCATGTACAGAGTTTTTATTTATTTATTTTTAATACGGAATGCTTCACGAATTTGCATGTCATCCTTGCACAGGGGCCATGCTAATCTTCTGTCTCATTTTAATTTTAGTATATGTGCTGCTGAAGCAAGCACTCACGTACAAATTTTTATATGAACATATATTTCCTCTTAGGTAACTGTCTCAAGGTGGAATTGCCAGTTGTAGAGCAACTGTTGAGATTTTTTGAAGACCTGCCAAGCTGTTTTACACAGCAGCTGCACCATTTTATTTTTTCCCCTAAAAGTGTATCATAGTTCTCTTTCTCCATATCCTTACCAGCATTTCTTGTCAACTTGGCTGGGCCCAGGTACTCATTGTTATGCTATTATTTTTCTCCATTTTGTGGTCTGTCATTATCCTCTGTGTTGTAAATCTTCACGTGTGATGTTAATAGAGTAAACGTAGAGATATGTGATGTTAATAAGCAAAGTGCAGTCTGCAGGACTAACCTATATCAAGTCAGTTTTGATTTTTTAAATTGTGATATAAGGAAAAGTTTACTGAACAAATTGATTTTCCATTCAGCCAATCATACGCATTTTGTCTTATAACATTAATTGCTATTATGTTATTAGGTGCCAAACATTGGAACTCGTAGCTGATCCTCCAGGTTTTCAGAGGCTGTAAATTGCACAAGAAGAAACTGCCCATCTTTCTCCCTCAGTTGCTGGTGGGTTCAAACAGCCTGCCTTTGGATTGTCAGTGTCACTTTTTAGCCACTAGGCCACCAGAGCTCCTTATGACGTTACTTAAAATACCCGCATCTGTAACAACATTCTTCCCATTTCTTTATTATTTGTTACTACTTCTACCCAATCCCTTTCTACTTTCTGAGCTTTATCTTTGGGCAAATGCTACCTTTTTAATTTTCTGTGATTGATTGTTCTCAAGTGAGTCTACCTCTTTGATATTGTTTACCATTCAGGTCTGCCATTGTTTGACTCTTAAGTTGAACCCCGGTGAGTGTAGTTCTAGGCTGTAGGATGAAGGGCGAATAGTGCAGGGTAGGAGTCGGAAGTTCAAGCAGTCTCTTTTCAACTGACAAGCCTGGCTACTTGTAGGATTTTTACTTTTCTTACACATTTCCTCCCACTCTGTCCAGGGAACCGAGCACCCTCTCTAGTGTTTCTCTGGGTCATGGGGCTGAGGTAGCCTCTTGGGCTAATTATCTCTATGCGATGTTGGTTTTCTTTACTCTTTGTTACAGACTGTTACACCTTAGATGCCTGCTCCCAACCTTTGAAGACTTTATTTCCTACTCACCCAAGTAGAATGTCAGATACTCTCTTTGTGGACTGTTTGCCAGTTAACCTTCATGGTTCCTCCTCAGGCCCTAAGACCAACCATTCATTTCCTCAGGGTGTTTTAGTTATATAAGCAAACACTCTTGTTTATGTAACATTGCTTCCTGTTGACTTTGCTGTCTCCATGCATATATTTGCAGTATGTACAGGTACCTGCTGTGTACGGTCCTGGGTGTGGTTTCACCTGCCCATACCTGTTTCTCTTACCTGTCTTCCTGTATGTTCACTTATAGATTAATGTCTGGTATTGATGATAATGCAGGATTGTGTGGGTTTGCCCTTGTTGAGCTTTATTTCATGAGCTTACTTGCTATTTCTATATAATAGTTAGAGAAAGTCTTTTCAGATCAGTTCCTCAGCTTTAATTTATTTATCCTATTGTGGAGTTGTAAGGGTTGTTATATATACTTGGGGCACAAGTTCCTTTTTAGATAAGTGCTTTGCAAATCTTTTTTCATATTTGCACATTATCTTTTTGCTTTTTATGGTGTCCTTGGAAGCACAAACCCTTAATTTTTTAAAAAATTTTATACTGATTTATTTACAGAGTCAAATACATTATTTTTCACACCACATCTTTCCCATTTCCTTCACCCCTCTCCAAACCCTTTATTTTAGTGAAGTAAAATTTGTTTTTCTTTCTCTGCTTACTTCAGCTTTTGGTGTCATCTGAGAAACTTTTATCTAATCCAGAGTCATGGAGATTTACTGATTTCCTCCCCCCCAATAGTTACTTTTTTTAACTCTTGTATTAGGGGTTTGGTCTTCTTTCTCTTCTGTCTCCGCAATGACAGTTTGCACTCTTCCTGGATGATACCTTTGATATCCTCCCACAGCTCATCTGGTCTTCGCTCATTAGTGTTCAAGGCCTCAAACCTGTTCCTGAGATGGTTCTGAAATTCAGGTGGGATAGACTCAAAGTCATATTTTGGTTCCCGTGGATTCAGTTTAATTTTCCTCAGCTTCAGCTTGAACTTGCATATGAGTAGTTGGTGATCTATCCCACAATCCACTCTTGGTACCAGCAGTCAGGAAATCAAAAAGCGTATCGCGATGGGAAAGTCTGCCGTTAGGGACCTCTCAAACGTACTCAGGAGCAACAGTGTCTCTCTGGAGACTAAGGTGCACCTGATACAGGTCATGGTATTTGCAATCGCTTGTTATGCATCAGAGAGTTGGACAGTGACTAGGGAGGACAGAAGGAGAGTGGATGCTTTTGAGCTGTGGTGCCGGAGAAGGGTACTGAATGTACCCTGGACTGCCAGGAAAACAAACAGATCCATCTTGGAGAGGATTAAACCAAGCTGCTCCTTGGAGGCAAGGATTCTGGGGCTTCCTCTGACAT